CAAGTGATGAAAGTGGGGGATGTTGGCTTATCAGGCGCCCGCAGCTCACAGCCAAAGTACGAGTGAACGTGGGAGCGAGAGAGCGAGGGAGAAAGAGGAAGGGCGCAACAGTACCGGCGCTGTTGTTATTAGAATCTGGTGCTAGCTGCTCTAACGGATATTAGAAGAAGATGTTTCTGCAATGATGTGGAGGGAGAGTCCTCTCCAGTCAGACTGAGAGGCTGATAACTACAGCTCAGTGAGGTAAAGGACTCTGAGGGATTAGATAGTTCACTTTAGTCTAAGTTATCTCAGTGGGTCTCAAACGGTTTGATCACAATGTATGTGAACACATATTTCCAAGGCACTCCTTTATAATTATTGGGATAAACAGGTTTGAAATCATTCCAATGTATACTATAGGACAGTAAACCAGACATATCGTTTTAAACTGGAGAGATACAAAAATATGTATAAATAAATGTTAACTAGGTAAAATAAGATATGATGAACAACAAAAATAAAATAAGTTACATTTATTTGTTATTGGTTATGTTCACATATTTATTGGATTATTAAAATGTAAACCGATATTTTTCATATGGGTGTTTTAGAGTTGTACCCCCTAGATCTAGTAGTAATGTGTTCTCAAAGTGCACCAGATTGAAGCATTTCACTTTAAAATGTTCAAACATTTCTTCCCGGGGGGGGGCATACCCCCGGACCCCCCTAGAGGATGTGGCGTCCACCCCCCATTCTATTGTGTATTCCTTAGATACTCTATTGATATTTATCTTTTCTATTGTACGATTCTCTGGCTGTATGATATTTCCGCTTCTCCTCACACTGAAGTGAGCACTGCTGAGGGAAGGCTGTGCTAGGAATTGTGTTACAGTTTGTTACCATTTTGTGTGGTAAACCGGCTACTTAAAGGGGACCTATCATGCAAAATGCACTTTGTGATGTCTTTTATACATAAATATGTGCCCCCGGTGCGTCAGGGAACTCACGCAGCGTCAGAAAATAAAACCCCCTCTCTTTTCCTCCGTACCCACATTTTTTTTAAAACGGGTGTACAACGAGCGGATACAGATTCCATCCGAACTGACGTAAAATCGGCAGCGGACCCACAGAAATGTGCTATCAGAAACAATGCCTGACGTGTTTTGGACGTAATCTCGTCTTTGTTTACATTAGCAAGCCTCGCTAACACTCGAAGCTAACCTGAGGCCTGTACTACGACGCTTAGCGGGCTAACTTCAGGGAAAACTCGGGGTTTCCGGTCCTACGACGCTGGTTCTCTTTTTAGCGGGATAGAATAGAAGAATAGAATAGAATAGAATTCCTTTATTGTCATCGCACCAGGTACATCGACATTTAAAAAAGCAATCCTCGCAGTGCATTTCCACATAAAACGAATAAATATATATCTATATAAACATATACACACATAAACATATGCTCACACATCCATACCAACATGCATACATGCCCGCACATTATTTAAATAGTTTACAATATAAAAAACACAGGGATGATATTCTGCATCTCTGATGTCGATCAGTTAATAAGTTCATACAACTATTACAAAGTAGTGCAGTTGCAAGTTGTAACTGTTCAGTTCAGCGTTTAAGGGTGTTCAGTTCTCGTATGGCTCTGGGGTAGAAACTGTTTTTCAGTGGGTTTGTCCTTGATTGAATTGACCTGTAGCGTCGACCGGAGGGCAGAAGAGCAAACAGGAAGTGTCCAGGGTGTGAAGAGTCTGCTATTATTCTGCCTGCTCTGTTGAGGCAACGTTGGCTGAAGAGTTCCTCCAGAGAAGGCAGTGAGCAGCCGATGACCTTCTGGGCTGTGTTGATGACCCTCTGAAGGGATTTCCTGTCCTTTTCTGAGCAGCTGGCACACCACGTGGTTAGGCAATATGCCAGCACACTCTCTATGGAGCAGCGGTAGAAAGACACCAGAAGCTTCTCCTCCAGGTTGTTTTTCCTGAGGATCCTCAGGAGGTGGAGTCGCTGCTGGGCCTTTTTCACAGATGTTGTGGTGTTGATAGACCAGGATAGATCTTCAGCAATGTGTGTGCCGAAGAACCTGAAGGCGGGAACCCTTTCCACACCGTTGATGTACAGTGGATCTGGTGTTGTGCTGTTTTTCCTGAAGTCTATAATGAGTTATTTTGTTTTGATGGAGTTCAGAACAAACACCACACTGCCAGTCTCTGGATTTCATCCCTGTAGGCTGACTCATCTCCTCTTGGGATCAGTCCAACCACGGTTGTGTCGTCCGGGAACTTGACGATGGTGTTGGTGGGGTGAGTGGAGGCACAGTCATAGGTGTACAGGGAGTCGAGCATGGGGCTCAGCACACAGTCTTGTGGTGAACCGGTGCTGAGTGTGAGGGTGGAGTAGAGGTGAGGACCTATTCTCACTGTCTGGGGGCGGTTAGTTAGGAAGTCCTTAATCCATTGGCAGATGTTTGGGGAAAATCCTAGGTCAGATAGCTTGGAAACCAATCTGCCTGGGATGACTGTATTAAAGGCAGAACTGTAATCAACAAAGAGCATCCTCACATAGCTCCCCTGGTGTTCAAGGTGGGACAGTGCACTGTGAAGGACAGTGCACTGTGAAGGACAGTGGCGACGGCATCCTCTGTAGACCTATTTGCTCTATACGCAAACTGATCTGGGTCGAAGGTGGGTGGGAGAATGGTTTTGATCTGCTGCAGGACCAGCCTCTCGAAACACTTCATGATGAGCGGTGTGAGTGCTACCGGACGGTAGTCGTTGAGGCTGGAGGTGATGGGTTTTTTCGGCAGGGGATGATTGTGGCAGATTTCAGGCACGAAGGGATGATGGATTTGGAGAGTGACAGGTTGAAGATCTTTGGTCTGCACACTCCTTCAACACCCTCCCCGTCACGCCATCAGGGCCTGCAGCTTTCCTCGGGCTCACCGCTCTGAGCACACGCCTCACATCATGCTCCTGCACAGTGAGGGTGTGACTGTTGGATGCTGGTGAGGTTGTTGTGTCCGTCTCTACTGCATTGACCTCAAAGCAAAGAAACAATGAAGTTCCTCTGCCAGTGAGGCGTCCCCGTCAACCGTTGTGCTGTTATTGTTCTTGTAGTTGGTGATGTGCTGTATACCTTGCCACACCCGCCGTGGATCGTTGCTGGTGAAGTGGTCCTCAATCTTCCTCTTGTAGGCTGCTTTGGCATCCCTGATGCCTCTCTTCAGGTTGGCTCTAGCTGCACTGTATTGAGCACTATCACCAGACCTGAAGGCGATGTTTCGGCCCTTGAGGAGAGCTCTGACCTCCTTCGTCATCCAGGGCTTCTGGTTGGGGTATATCTGAATACGTTTTTCAACAGTCACATTATTCACACAGTTCTGTATATAGCAGAGTACAGTTGATGCGTACTCCTCCAAGTCCTGAACCTCAAAAATATCCCAGTTAGTCCTTTCGAAGCAATCCTGTAGCTGCGAGGAAGCTCCTTCAGGCCATGTTTTAACAGTCTTTGTGGTGGGTTGAGTTTTCCTCCTGACAGTGGTGTATGCTGGGCAGTGACGTGCGGTGAGGTTCATGGCTGGTGAGGCACTGACTCTTTCAGAGTCAGATTTACAAATATTATATTCTGACCTTAATCGAAATATTCTGTTATTTTCGAAAGCTTTTTTGGTCTGATGTTTCGATTCATTTTAAACAGACCGTTCAACAAAAGGATACCCAACATCTAAATATTGGATTGTTCTTTCTTAGTAAGATCCCATTTTCATTACCAATGTGGTCTTACCTTGACTTGAAGATGAAGTCCATGCTCTCCTTCTGGACAACAATCTCTATTACTTTTTTGTAAAAGTCCTCCTTATCTTCCTCTAGTTTCAAAAGTCTAGTTTGTTGTTCGCGTCTATTCCGTCTCTGCGTAGAATAACAGTAGCAACAAGGACCTGTGGGCTCACGTGCGCCCCCTTCAGTGCGGCAGAGGTTATGGCTGCCTCCCCTGGTGCTTTTTTCATTGTCGTTGTACGGCGAGCCTAAATATCATATACGTGAAATAAGTTATTTAGAGACTATGGATGGCGAGGATAAATGTAATAAAGGGATCTACAAACATTACATTGGTGACATACAGTGAGATGGTAACAGGCATGCGCTTAGGGCCCGCTTTCCAGCCAGTTTCTGTGGGGTGACGCATTCTGAGGTGAGGCAGAGCTCATCTGTGCCTCACCTTACCACACAGTAACTGGCTTGAGCGCGCTCACAAAATAAGTGCCCGCGCTACATTAGTGCCCGCGCTCCAGCAAGTTACTGTGGGCTTACGAGAGGCAGAGCTCGTCCCTGCCTCACTTCTCATCGCTACCCGTAGTTGTAGCAGAGCTCGGCAAATTTGCTGATTTTGACTATAAAAAGCGATTGGAATCAAACAGAAATCACATTTACAACACAGATCAGTGGAGACATTTTATTATTATTACTATTTAGTTTTTCTTTAGTTGTTTTTCCGTTACATTGTATTATGGCCAGTCTATGAGAATGACAGGAGAGGCTCTGCCTCCCCTGCCTCCCCTGACTGCACGTCGCTGATGCTGGGGTTAAAAGGATGGACAGGTGATCTGACTGCCCTAGATGTGGTAGTGGTACAGACTTAAATCCCTTCTTAATGTTTGAATAGGCCTTATCCAGTGTGTTTTTACCCCTTTGTATGTGTTGTACAAACTTTAGGAGAACTGTCTTTAAGTCTGCATGGTTGAAATCACCAGCTATGATATGGGCGGCTTCGGGAATGTGCTTTGTTGTGAATTGATAGCACTGTGCAGGTAGCCAAGCGCTATTTTAGAATTAGCATCTGGTGGTATGTAGACAGCTGTTACTATGACAACGGTAAACTCACGAAGGAGGTAAAAAGGCCTGCATTTCACTGTCAAGTACTCCAGGTCTGAAGAGCAATGACTGTCCATGATTATGGCGTCCTTGCACCAGTTGTTATGTACGTAAATGCATAACCCCGCTCCCCTGCTCTTACCAGAGTCGATGTTTCTGTCCCAGCGGTATGCTGTTCGCCCCGCTAGCTCAATGGCTCCGTCTGGGATAAGTGGGTGTAGCCATGTCTCCGTTATGATCAGGATGCAACAGTCTTGTACGTATTTATTTTTCAGACATCTGTAGGTTTAGTTCATCCATTTTGTTGAGGATGGATCTGGCGTTCGTGAGAAAGATGCTGGGTAGCGGTGGTTTGTGAGGTTGTCTCCTTAGCTTAGCCTTAGCCAGTTGACCGGACCGACATCCCCGCTTCTGCTTCCTGCTCCTGCTCTGCCTCCGATGCCTGGTGGAGCCGACAACAATCCACGGAGAGCCCGATGTCCTGGCTATCTCTTCCGGTATATTGTGGGAGTGCGAAAATGCACTTGTTACCGCCACATTCCTATCGTAAGTAGGTCCCTGCGGCTGTGCACAGGATTCGCACTGCTAACCGTAACATTGGCCAGTAGACATACGGACGAAAACACACATAGAAAGCACAGAAAGGAAGAGCTCCGAGCCGCTGCGACTGTGCGCGCCGCCATTTACGGAAGCTCGAGCTAGATCTCCATGGTAACTTATGCTGTGCGGCTAACCTGGGGCCTATACTACGAATCAGGATTTTCGTGTTGCAAGCTAACTTCAGGGATTTCCGGTCCTACGAAGCTGCACCGACTGTGTGAATGTGAAAATGAATAGAATATCACCTCCCATCTTCAGAGCAATATGTCTATTACAACATTAGCGTTAAGAAAGCTTACTTAAATATCTGCCACAACATAAGTAACCGGATCAGAGTAACATTACGTACAGTCCGCGGCATATCACTTCATAATGTATCATATATCTCCTGATCTGAGTCAGCTGAGCCGTATCGGGCCTTGCAACACTCACAGTGTCACAGACTGGATGCAGAAGGATTATTTTAAGCAACACATTAAGTTGAGGAAACACTGGAGTCAAATGTAATGAAAGTCAGATGGTGTCTTAGACGGGCAGTGATATCATAAACCTGTTAATGTACGCATTCAAACACTTGCTCTGTTCCCAGCTGTATTCACCTTGCAGGTGCAGCTCTGTGGCTTTGATCCTGGATCAAGTGTTTAAGTCATGGATGTTTAAAGTTTAACTTCTTCATATGTCTAATATTATAGTTCACTTTTCATTCAGGAAGTATGACGCTGCACTGTCAGTATGCTTCTCCATGTTTGTGATTCGTCGAATGCTCCAGATACCACCTCTTTCATGTGAACGCGCACCTAACTAGATAGGACACGGCTGGCTTGAGCGATCCACTTGATAACCAGCGTCCAGCGTCGTAGGACCGTTTAGCGAGAGCGCGTATGTTTTGGATTAGGCCAACCGGCTAACTCAAACATATCCAGGTTAGGTTGAACCAGCTTCGTATACAGGCCTCTGTACTGGAGAGCACATCATGTGTTTAAAAAGCAGGAAATAAAAAAAGGAACTCACCTTGTGATAAACCTGCAAGAGAAAAAGCATTTGAGCTCCATACTGTTTCAGAAATAATCCTTGATGTGGTTTAGAACAGGATGGCGTTTTATCACAACAGAATTTAACTTTATCTCAGGTAAAATTCTGATCCGCCTCCTCTTCTTTCTTTTTTTTCAAGCTAAGGACCCAAGATCCGCGTTTCTCTAACAGGGCTCAAAAGAGGGGTTTGAGCAGCATGAGAAATGGCTACAATGGGGGAACTGTTTGGTATTTAGAAAAACTTCACAGACATGTTTTGTATAGGTATGGCCCTACAATATATGTTTCAAATATAGCATGATAGGCATAGGCGGCACGTGAGGCTCAGGTTTGGGAAGGCTAAATCACTTTTTTTTACCTGACGCTGCCCGCCTCCGGCGTCTATAGAAAAGAGATCAACTCAGTGAAAGCACCGCCTGCTGACCAATCAGAGCTCAGTGTGCGGAGTTTAAATCTATCAAGTCATATCACAGGAGAAAGGAAATACAGTTTAAACTGCCGTATGCAGAGAAGACGCCGACTTGTCGCACTTTATCATTCATATAATATCATAATATATCACATTTCCTTATATGAGTCAGCTTCTCGAGCCGTATCTGGCCGTGCATCACCTACAGTGTCACATACTGTATGCACAAGTATTATTTTAAGCAACACATTAAGTTGACTAAACACTCAACTCAAATGTAATTCAAGACAGATCCACTCGTGTCTTAGATGGGGCAGTGATATCATAAAACTGTACGCTTTCAAACACTCGGTAGTTATTTGTTAACTAGTTGTTCTATATTCACCTTGCAGGTGCAACTCTGTGGCTTGTATCCTGGATTATATGTTTAAATCATGGATGTTTAAAGTTCATATTTGTCTAATATTAGTTTACTTTTCATTAATGAAGTATGACGCTGCGCTGTCCCTATTTGTGATTGGTCAAATGTTGCTAACCCCGCCCCTTTCACGTGAACGCGCTCTCAGCTGGAGAGAGAAACCCTGGCTTGATTTACCGAGTTGATAACCAGCGTCGTAGGACCGCTTAGCGAGATCTTGTTTGTTAGGGTTAGTTTAGATAACTCAAACCAACACACTCTCACTCCATAATCGTCCAGGAGCGACGTTTGGTCAGGGTCCCGTGGCGTGCAGTTGTGACGCTCCTAGGCTCCTTCAGCTTCATAAATGGACGCAAATAGCTTTCAACTGATTGCAATGTATTCCCATCTGCGGCGGGATTTGACGCTCATGGAAGCACGGCATTCGTTTGTGTCGGCTGCCCTTAAAGGCAATGTGAGCGTCCATTCTCATTGGATAACGGAGAATTGTACACCCGGAAGTAAGTATTCCCCTTACTGTCGATTGATTTTACAGTGATATCTGCACTACTCATCGACTAAAAAAACACCAGATTATCCTTGTTAATTACACAACATTGATTGGTTTAAATTGTGTGCAATGCTTTTGTATTTTTCCCCTTCGATTCGGAGAAACAAATGTATTTTCGGAGTAAAGGATGGCAGAAGACACTACACTACCCAGAATCCCCAGCTATCGTTTGGACTACACCATGTGCTCTGTTTGACAAACCCCGTTTTTTTTAGTAGCATGAAGCTGCAGCGTCGGAGACGGTCGGAGACAGCAGTTACAGGACTACACTTGTAGAACCGCACACACAGGTCCGACGGAGCACGTCACGGCGGCACGTGACGGAGTAGGTTCACATGAACGCCTGAAGCCCCTCAATGCAGTGCGCAATCTAACCCTTCCCTTCCCTCCATCCAGCCCTGACCAATTTGCCGCCCTAGGCAAGATTTTAGCTGGCGCCCCCCCCCCCCCCCAAAATGCAGACACTTATGACTCGTGCGTGCACGGTTGTGGCATGACCACCAAAACAGAAAGATATGGACACAAGATGTGTGCAACTGTATTTAGTTTCCTATCCATTTGAACATGATTTAAGTGAGAGTTTTTTTTTTAAGATTGAAGTTAAAAGCATCAATCTGGTGCACTTTGAGAGCAACATTAGGAGATCTATGGATACATCTCTCAACACCCATATGAAACAGAACTGTAAGAAGATTTTATTTTTCTTTATGGATATTTTACAAATCACTCCCCTTTCAAACTGTATTCTTGTTTATTAATAACAACTTTTTTGTACTGTCAGTATTTTATACCTGTTTTTCACCTATTCTCTTATTTTTTTATAACTATAATGATCATATAAAGGTGTGCCTTTACCTCACTGAGCTGAGGTTATCAGAGCCTCTCAGTCTTTCAGGAGAGAGTTCTCTAAAGCTTTCACCCCCGCGGCCGCTTACAATGTAAATTCCAATGTTAATAAAAGCACACAGAAGCTGTATACGTTTTTTGGGAGTTTGATTTATTTTAAATGAACACAAATACAAAATTAAAACCTATAATTGCAAACTAAAATCATTATTTCAAAAAAAGAACAATTTCACATAAACCCCTGGTTTTTACTGGAGCTGGGGCAGTTCAACTTGATTTTTTGGGGGGGGGTGTGTGTGCCATAGTTTATGGGCGCTGTACGCAATATAGGCGTAGTTCTGTTAGTATAAGATAATAAGATACACTTTGTTGATCCAAAATCGGGAAATTGTGTTATGAAATTAAAAAAAACATTTTTTTTAAATTTCAAACATTTTTTTTTTCTTCAGTTTTCGGCACCCCCATATAGGTTGATGCGCCCTTAGCATTCGCCTATACTGCCTATGCCGAGGGCCGGCCCTGCCCCCATCCTAACCCTAACCACTCCCTACCTTTTTACCTAATCCTAATCTTCATTCCTCCCTCCCAAACCTCAATGTTTCAATGTTGATATGACGTAATTTAAATTAAATACAGGGTTTTAATTTAAAGCAGTTTTATTCTGAAAAACCCGGAAGTTCACACTAACTATTAACTTAACACTTTTATTCTGAAGATTCTTCATTTCCGGTTAGCATTAGCATGTGGCTAACGTTTTGAAAACCGTGAATTGAAGGTGAAATTACATGTGATGTTGTACACTAAACACACTGGGATTAACACTCATTTATTGACGCTGGAATAACATTTTATCAGAATTATTTATAAATATATTAATAATATAAGATATAATATGTTACTTTATATATACAGTCTATGGTAAGTACACAACACAATACGCAAAACAACTAGGGTCGTGAGAGTGCGGTCCTGAGAGTGCAGCCTCCGACGCTGCAGCTTCATACTATTGTTTTTTTTCACCATTCATTCCAATGGCTGGCGTCTATGTCACGTGATCTTCAAATTTCTCCCTGCAGAAAAAAAAACATGGCCAAACTTCGTTTTATTCTCGGTGGAAAATGCCTATTTTAAAGTTAGTTTGGCCATTAAAATGCGTTTTGATGTCATTTGATGCGAGAAATATGAGTTGTTATTTCAGATTATGTGTGCAGTGGATGTACATGATCTTTAGTTTGCTAGTTATTACGAAGATTACTTCAGGAAATTGCGTCCATAGAACGTTTTCATTGTTACCAAGGTGGTTGCTATAGGGACGCTGCTATCGATATTATTTCTGTTATGTTGTGTAACTGTTTAATGGTGTTATCTTTATTGCTACCCCCTTCCCCGTCAATGTATAGTGTTGGTCCACAGCGCAAACGTATTAGTTTAACAAAATCCGCATCTAAAGATAGCCTACGTTATTTTCCCCTGTGCAATTCCAGTCTCACATCTCACAGCACATCGTCATTAACAAATACCGGAAACAGACCAAAAACATTTTAAAAAATAATAATAATACTTTATTCCGAGTGTGCTTGCTTTTCTCTTTGAAAGTCATCACATACCGGCATTGTAATACACGGTTCGGCTGCATTAAATATTACATATCTGCCGTAGTTCTGTATTTATAGAGCCCTGATGAGAAGACTTCGAGACAAACATGAGGAACTGAAAACGTGACGTGGATCATAAATATATCAGCCATTAAACAACATCTTACATTTATTTTCACACAATACGTCTCCTTGCAGTATCAACACTAATTCGGCTGACTTTTATATTTGATCCAATTGGTAGATAGGCTGTATTTACACCATAAAGGTGCACAGCTGATATAAAGGGACACCTAGTGGTTAAAGCATGTTATTGAATTTCATTATTTTTATTATTAGATATCTATAAAGTATATTCTTTACTCGTTATTCTCTACTAATAGTTAATTAAAGACTGTATAT